GAACAGATACTGGGGTTAAAGCTGAAGATCAGAGAAGCAAAATGGCCAAGTACTAGAGAGTTCTCATCTCCACCAGTGCTCGCACCAAAGGAGAGATCCTGTCCTCCGATTGCATCTCCAAACTGGACTGCTCCTTAGACTGCGTCTGTCTTCACAAAACCTCAGATTTCCCTGAGCTCTTGTCTCCTCCCACTTTATATTCCTCTCTAGTGCTGGGGTTAAAGGTGTGGGGTCCCAGTTGCTGAGATCACCTTTGTGTGAGCTCTGTTTCTCTTTTAGGCTAGATCAATTTCATGAAGCTCAGAGTGGCCTTGGAATAACAGAAATCTGTCTCTGTAGTCCTGGGATTAAAAGTGTGTGCCACCACTGCCTGGTCTCGGGCTTGGCCCCCTACATCAATTAGCAATCGAGAAAATGTCCCAGGCTGGAGAGATGGTTCAGTAATTAGAGCACTGGCTGCTCTTCTAGAGGTCCTGAGTTCAATTCCCAGCAACTACATGGTGACTCACAACCATCTGTAATTAGATCTGGTGCCCTCTTAGGGCCTGCATGCATGCAGGCTGCCAGAATACTATATACAGAAAAATGAAAGGAAGGAAGGAAGGAAGAGAGAGAGAGAAAAAGAAAGAAAGAAAGACAGAAAGACAGAAAGAAAGACAGAAAGACAGACAGAAAGACAGAAAGACAGAAAGACAGAAAGACAGAAAGACAGAAAGAAAAGAAAGAAAGAAAGAAAGAAAGAAAGAAAGAAAGAAAGAAAGAAAGAAAGAAAGAAAGAAAGACATGTCCAAGACCAATCTGATCAAGGCAGTCCTCCCAATTTAGATTCCCTCAGATAACTCTGATCTGTCAGTTGACAGATGAAGCTAACTAGGAGACTTAACTTAGAACTCAACTGTGTTTGCTAGACTGACAAACCTCCACGATCTACCTTGCTCCACCCATCCTTGCACTGGAGTTAGGAGTGTGGTAGCTACCATGCCTGGCTTCTCTATAGGTACTGGAGTCCCAAGTTCAGGTTATCATACTTCGTACTTTACCCACTGAGCCATCATCTGCCCAGTCCTTTCTGGACTATTTTAAGGACATATTTAGAATAATTTTTGATAGTGGTGATTATTTGACACCTATAAAAATGTAATTCTAAGAATATATGCACATAAATTATCAGAAATGCTCACAAAATATTCTGTGACCGTGAGGTTTGTTTTCAGAAAAAAATCTCACTTCCCAAGCTCGGCACAGCATTTTAATTTTTGCTTCTGTGATCAAGTATTATATAATTCTACATATCTTCAACTGTTTTTAGGGGTTAGTTTCCACATTACTGCATATTGAAATTATTATCCAATATTTGTTGTTCATAGCAGCTTTACTTATAACCACCAAAGACAGAAATAAAAGAAACAATGAAAAGATAAACAAAGATGGCAGAACACACGCCATGGAATAACACTCAGCCTTAACAAGGGAGAAAATGCTGACACATGTTGGTTGTAATACGGATGAAACTCAAAGGTAATGTGCTAAGTGAGATTAGCTACTCACGAAATAGACACGAAGGTTTGAGTCCATTTAACTGGAGTATCTGATGTAGCCCCATCCATAGAGACAGGGAATGGAACTGGAGGGGACAGATAGTGAATTACACCCCGGAAGAATCTCCTGGGCAACCATGAGCAGCTATGCAAGAATCCTCTTCCATCATAGTCCATTGTTTCCTTTTTGCACAATTTCCACGAGGAACCTTATGAAATTCCCTTGGAGTCTCATGAACCTCTCTGCCCCAAACATGAGGAAATGTCAACAGGTCATATAGTTTATGGGACTCATGTGTGATTCACAGCTCATGTCTAACTTGGAGGAACACCACCAACAATGGGAAAGTAGGAAGGAGTGGAGGCCAGGGCTTATGGACCGTACAGGGTTTGGCTTTAATGTTTTTTAAACTTTATTATTCTATGAGGTGTGTACATGATGAGGGTGCACATATACATGCACGGAGATCAGAGGACAACCTCGTAGAATCTGCTCTTTCCTTGCACCTGGAAATATGTTCCAGGCATTGATGTCAGGTGATTGGGATTAAACTCATGTTGTCAGTCTTGTCTTTTAAGTACATTTACTTACTGAGCTGTCTAGACAGCCAGGTTACGGCTGACAGAGGAGCTCTGCAGAGGGTTAGAACAGAGCAGGCCTGATCTGACATGCTTCTCATCCCCACTGAGAAGTCAGGGCACATGAGGCATGAAGAGGACACAGAGCAGGGTGAGGGGTAGGAGGAGTGATAAAGAACAGAGATTCTCAAAATGTCAAAGTGCAGCCAAGACAGTTGCTGAGGACTGGATACAGTCAGAACAAGAGAAATGACTTTGAGTCTGCAGTGGTGATTCTGGTGTATAGTGCAAGTCCCTTTCGCACTGTCTACATAAGTGACCTCGAAGATTAATGTGCCCATTTTCCTATAAGATACATTGACCAGTGCAGAAGCCACCTGACCTATGTGACCAAGAGAAGTCACTCTACAGTGCTCTTTCATTGTGATATGTCAACTCTTGTTCCCATCAAATGAGTTGTCTGATACCAAGAGTTACTAAACTGTGTTCTACTTTTCATTTTATTAAGCTGAAGAACTGGGGAGACAGCTCAGAAGGTAATAATACAAGCATGAGGACTCAAGTTTGAAGACCTGGACTGAGGCCTAGCTGTGCAGGCCTGTAACTTCATCACTGTGGGGATGAGACAGGAAGCTCAGGAGAGCTCCCTAGCCAGCCTCTCCAGCTAAAATGATGATCTTCTGATTCAGTCACAAACTGTCTTAAAGCAATGAGGAGGGTGATAGATGAAGACACCCAGTGTCCTGGCCCTCTGTATGTGTGTATGGGCACACACATACCTGCACTCATCTGTATTCACCATACACAAAAATACACAGAACACACACACAAGTTCATGAATTAAATAAAGTAAAATAATGCAACATGAGTTTGAAAATAAAGGCTTCTGTAGGTATTGATAATGTCGACTTTTAAAAAGTACTGTTGGGCCTGGCATTGGTGGTACACACCTTTAATCCCAGCACTCAAGAGGCAGAGGCCGAGACAGGCAGATCTCTTTGAGTTCCAGGCCAGCCTGGTCTACAGAGTAAGTTCCAGGACAGGTTCCAAAGTAATACAGAGAAACCCTGTCTCAAAAACAAAAAAAACAAAAAAAAAACAAAACAAAAAAGTACTGAATATAAAACAGTTTAGAAAGACAAAATGACAAAGATACAGAATGATTGTGCCTCAGCTTCTGACAAATACTTTAAAATTATGTCTGCAAATGAATTTAGAAAGCAATCCCCCATCCCACTCAAGTTCACTCATGCTCAAGTCTCTTTCGTAAAATGAGAGCATTTGCATCTAACCTGTTTAACTTTCTCCTATGTGTTTCAGTATCCAGATCACTTACACTAAATTCAATGTAAATTGTATGTATGTATATATAACAGGTTTTTTGTTTCGAGACAGTGTTTCTCTTGTAGCTTTGGAGCCTGTTCTGGAACTCACTCTGTAGGTATGCACAACCCATACACAGCTATAGTAGATGTTTGGAAAATATTGACATGAAAAATCCTTACATACTTAGTACAATTTAAATTAAAAGAATGTTTTCCATCCAATATTGCTTAAATGTGGTTACAAAGCCACAGATGAAGAGACAGATGTATATAATAGATGTTTACAAAATGTGTTTGTCTCTCTTCTCTTTGGATCTTTTCTATTTTTGTAACTGGGAAACTGTCCATTCAAATCTCTTTGAAAGTGGCTGTTTTCGCCAGGTGTTGGTGGCACGCACCTTTAATCCCAGCACTCGAGAGGCAGAGGCAGGCGGATCTCTGAGTTTGAGACCAGCCTGGTCTACAAGAGCTAGTTCCAGGACAACCTCCAATGTCACAGAGAAACTGTCTCAAAAAACCAAAACAAAAAAGTGGTAGTTTTCACTGTATGTTGACTACTTACTCTTAAGATGTTCACACTAACATACTTGCTTTTTAAAGAATCTTCAGGGGGACTGGAGAGATGGCTCAGAGTTCAATTCACTGTATGTTGACTACTTACTCTTAAGATGTTCACACTAACATACTTGCTTTTTAAAGAATCTTCAGGGGGACTGGAGAGATGGCTCAGAGTTCAATTCCCAGCAACCATATGGTGGCTCACAACCATCTGTAATGAGATCTGGTGCCCTCTTCTGGCCTGCAGGCAGGCATACAGGCAGAATACTGTATGCATAATAAAAATCTTTAATAAAAAGAACAGTTTCTTTATTCATTTCTGATGCATTTTTGTGAAATTAGTAACATACAACTTGCAGGAATGTAGTCATTGAGTGCAGAGTAGACTTCATGCTCTACCTCCACCTCTAAGGATCTGCTGCAGTAGACAATGCTCTAAGTGCCCTTCAGTGTTTGTAAAGCAGAAGGAACGAGGTAAAGCGCTCTCTATATGTTTTGTGTATTAATCTCTAATGCAATCACTTGTGCAATGCTCTTTGGCAGCCCAGGTAACCCTGGTAGTGTCAACTGGAGGGAACAAACAAACCTTCAGCTGGCTGCTGTCCCTCTTGAGCTCTCTGGATTCTAATGATTGTCTTTACAGTTACCACAATCACAAGTTACTGGAAAGAAGTCAAATTGGTTTCTTCTTGCCTGCATATACATACACATACGTGCACTACATCCCTATCACTCGCTTTCTCTTTCTCAAGTCTCTGTCTCTCCTTTTTCTGTCCTGATTTCTAATTCCCTCTCTGCCTGCCTCAGTGCCCAACCTTTAAGAAACACAAACCATTGAAAATATAGCAGTTGGCTATATTATTCCAATTCGTAGTTGTAAGTCTTCTGCCTCAGGCTAAAACCACAGATTTAGTTCAGGACAAGAACTGAAACCCAGCTCAAGGCTGCCCCTGCTCCCCTCTCCCAACAACTGGGTATTTAGTCATTCTACTCCAACTGGTATTTTTGCTCTTCCTTGGGTATTTTATTGAAGGGTTCCATAAGCAACATTAACAGAACAAAGGACAATGTTCACTATAAGAATATCATACCAACTTAGTTGTGACATGAACGTCATCAATCTACTGAAATTAACATTATGAACACATAGTGAAAAGATGTTCCTTAGAAGTGGAAGGTGAACGTTAACCAACAAGACAAAACTATCTTTCAAAGACAGATAACAGGAAGAGGTTCAGTTTGGCTTAAGGGTGAGTTGTAGTCAGTCTACAAAGGTGTCTTCGAAGGCCTGAGGTTTTGGATGAGGCGGCTCAGGAAGGTATCCAGCCGATGCCTGGACCTGTATGCAATCAGTCCTCCCTTGTTGGCCCAGAGGTCCACACCAGAAGCACCTTTGTTCTCCATGTGATACAGCAACTGTGGCAAGTCCAACCCCTTTTCAGGGCTTCTTTCCAAGCACTCTTTCATGTCTACAATGCCCCCACCCATGGCCCTCAGAATGGCATGAGCAGCACAGGAGTCCCACTTGTACGTGGTGTCCTCTGAGAAGATGTAAATGTCAACCAGGCCTTGGACTACACAGAGGCTCTTGTAGCCAGCCCCAGCCGCAGAGAAGACGCTACCTCCACATACTTGCCACAGCGCGGCTTTGATGGGCTCTTTTTCGCTTGTACTGATGACTGCAGAAAAGGGTTGGGAGAACTCCAGGTCCGAGTTTTCAGTGTGCATTTTACTATCGTCCCCTTTGGAGATGGAGGACTGCAGGGAATGCATGTTGGTCCCCATGTAAGAAAGGCCCCAGTAGCACTGTCCTGTCCACCTGCAGGGAACATTTCAGTTGGTGATTATCAGGTTTGTTTTATTTGTGCTGCTTTCAAATATAACGATAAGAAAAATGTACAATGCCTCAAAGCAAATGTTCCTGAGCTGATAAACGAGCAACAAGCTACTAATTAATTCTCAGTGGCTGCAAGCATGCAGCTGCCTGTTATTGTGATGGAACTACTGAGAGTTTACCTCACTATCATACCCAGCTGAGATAACACTAAAGCACTAGTGGGATTTTTGACCTCTGAAGCAATGCTAAAGTTCAATCCTGCTTTTGTTATCTAAAGTCTCAAAGACACCTAAAAACACCTCAGAGAGGCCTCTTGTCACTGACTTACTCCTTTTTATGCTGAGTCACTAGATCCACTTTGGCTTCTAACACCAAGTAAGATGGACTCCTGCTGTTATTTTCAGCAAGAACAGTAATAACAACTTTGTTTATCCACTTAGCCTCCCCGGTCAGCACTCTATTTACAGATGAAAGGTGAGGCTTGGAGAAAGCAAGTAACTTGCTAAAGCTGCCTGGATCTTTAAGTGGTGGAAACTGCTTCAAACCCAGAAGCTCACCCCTGAATCTGTGGTCCCCTGAAGCTGGCCTTACAGTCGACTTGGAGTCCTCTTGTGTCTCTGGAGTGCTGGGCTTACAGGTCATTAATGTTTTAATGACATTTTACAACATTACCAAAACATACTTGATTTGAAGGAAACTGAAGTAGAGGAAAATTCCAGAGGCTTAAACATTTAACTTAAGGAGCAACAGATTCATATCCGAAGTACCAAATAAGGCAGTTCTATGGGATGGAAGCTGCAAGTTACTTCAATGAAAAGGAAAAGGGATATCTGTGCTCAGTCCCCAGCACAGAGGCCCCTGACCACTCTCCAGGCTGTGATCAGGGGTCAGTAAAAAGGCATGGATACTGGCAGCATTTGGCAGGAGTTAAGAGTCAATCCTGGCCACATCTGTCAGTCAGTGCACTGAATAGTTTGCACATTTGATTCTATACTACTTCTACCATAATACAGACAGTCATCTTGGCAATACAGTGGTGGCATGTTCCGATGAATCAGAAGACAATGTTGAACACTGATCTATATGTGTGGTTTTGAGTGGATTTTAGAAGCAGGTATAGGATTGATATCTCTCAAATGCAAAGCCATGATTTCTCCAAGGCAGTATTAGTTTCTTTGAAAGTATCAATGTGCACTTAAACCCAAAGAAAACTATGTCAAATCCAGGACTGAAGAGAGAATCATTTCAATTCAGCCCTGTGGACTAACAGTGGGAATTCCCCACAGAATCCAGTTACAGGAATGCCACGTGGAGCGACAATCCTAACAAGCAGCTGAGGCTGGATGATCAAGACTGAAAATATCCATCTTTTACCTCAGAGTAGTTAGGTTTTGAGTCACAAAAGGCTGGTTGATGACTCCCATCAGGGGCATGCCTGTCTGTATGTCATAGACGCCAATTAAAATGGTCACACACTGAAGCCCATTGGGGAAAACTCCTTGGTTGGATTTCACGTTGGCAGAACCTTTAATATACTGATAGGTTGAATCTGAAAAATGAAGCAGGTGTACAGGGATATATTGGTTAGAAAGTAACAGTGAATCTATCTAGTATCTTTATCCTGTGTAAGGTCCCCTTCTAATGTAGTCACCAATCAGATTTCACCTTTGGGTATAGCCTCCAATGAATCAGTTGAACTCTCATATATCAATGTTTATATTTCATTCAGTGTATGAGAACTTTTAAAAAATTTGTTGTCTTGAGCACAGGTGAGTCTAACTGGAGATCTTCCTGCCTCCGCCTTGTAAATATGAGAACTCTTGAAGGTGTGGACTTGGTCACAATCCTATGGAATCTAGCACAGCACCTTGCATATATAATAAGATTTCCAAGGCAGTTAGGGCTGGGAAGATGACTCAGTGGCTAAAACACTTGCCTCAAAGGCATGAGGACTGGAGTTTGGATTCACAGCGCCCTTGGAAGATGCCGGGCAAAGTGGATCACACTTAAATATCCTAGTGTTGGAGAGGCAGAGACAAGAAGATCCCTGGGGGATGCTGGACAGCCAGTCTAACTGAATTGATGAATTTCTGGTTAGGTGGAAAAGGAACAAGACACATGACAACTCTGGCCCTAGTGTACCATGTGAGCAGGAGCACATACAAACAGCCTTTAAAATGCATTTAAAAGGTCAACAACTCCTGATAACTGGTGTGGTGATTGCTTAGAACTGTTCGTAATCAGAAACAGAACCATCTGAGATAGAAAAGCCTCCAAGAATCTGACAGACGTGGAATGGCCTATTGTTATCATTTGTCTCCCTGAGCATCAAGGAGATAATGAAGCCAACATAACAAGGGAAGAGGTTGACCAGTGCTTGTGAGGGGGGTTGGATCTTGGTTGTCAGCTTGATTGGATCTGGGACCAACTATGGGTCTGGGAGTGTCTATGAAGGTGTTATCTGGAAGCATTACTTAAGGGGGCACAATCTTGCCTCAGAGTGTACAGCATTTTCCAGCAGCCCAGCTGTTAAGAGGTCTGAGGAAAAGCAATGCTGATTTTGCCTGCTAGATCTCCTCCTTGTTGGTGCAAGCACCTACTCTTCCGCTGTTGCTACTGGCATCCTTCACTGACATAAGCACCTTAGTGTCTCTAGACTTCCAACATGGACCGAAGACCAGTGGTTCCAGGGATTCCCCAGGCCTTCCGTGTTGACTGGGACTGCCAAGATTTCCAGCATTCTAGACCGAGATCCTACTAGCCTCATCAGTGTAGGACAGACACTGTTGCACTGCCCAGTTCCATGAGTTAGTACACTGTGAAGGATGTGTCCGGTCAATGACTCAAAGAGACAGATAAACATCCACTTAGGGTGGAATAAAACTGGAGGATCACTGTCCTTCAGAATTGTAACAAACATCAATTTACCCTTACATGACCAGAGATTTTGGGGGGAATTCTTAGTGTTCATATACAATACATTGGCTGAATGTTACGTAGCTATCTGATGTAAGGAAAACCACCGTGTTGTGTTATGTGCCTATAGAATAGGGTGGGGAGAAAGCCATCTGGCTCAGAATAATGTCTGCCACCAGTTATGTTCAGCAGAATTTGCCAGGCACATGGGAAAGTAGGGACTTCAGTCTTAGGACATTGTATTGACTGTGCTGTTGAGGAAAGGGCTACATTTGAAAGCATGCACTGCAATTACAATTCTACCACAAAAAAGAACAAAAACTTGGGCTTGCAAGGTGCCCAAGATATTCAGTTTTGCTTGACCATGGTTTTGACTGTTGCCTAAGTAAATGAGTAACCAATGATTTAAAGTTAGCAACTGTCCCTTAAAAACATGCATGGGTTTGGCATTTTAAAATCTGAAGATATAGCCTGTACTCACAGCCGGTAAGAGACTGTTAGAGCTGAACTCTAAGTGGTGGGCATTGCTGTCATTTCAAGTCCAGTTTGAGTGCGCATGTGTGCGTGTGTGCATGCATGCGTGTCTGTGTGTGTGAGGGGGGGAGTACTATCTGTAACTCCAGTCGCAGTGTGTCTGATGCCCTCTCTGGCTCCATAGGCTCTCCACACACATAGTATATGGGGGTGTGTGCATACATACATACTAAATGAAAATAACTCCTCTGGACATGACATGACTATCGCACTCATAAACTCCCAGCAGCAATGGTTTCTCTATAAGACCTCCATGAAATCAAGGTAGCCAGACTTCCGGCACACACTGGGGATCTTTTCTGAGGAGCTGCAGGGGAGGGGTACAGCTCTTTGTGTATGAGTGTAGGTTCCCACGCTCCAGTGTATGGTCCATGCTCCAGCACCTAACTGGGCAGCACTAACTGGACTTAATGAGTTTCAAAAAAAATACATTAAATTAGGAGAGGAACACATTTGGGATTCTGGGAGGAGTTGGGGGCTATGATCATATATCATTGTACACATGTATGAAATTCTCAAACAACAACATTCCAGATCTAGACTACAGTTCTGATAGCTTCTATTTCTTGCCTTGACCCTTCAACAACACAGGTAAGAACAAATGAGAACGTGCACACAGAGCAGTCCCACACTCACCGATGGGATCCACCCAAATTCCCAGAATGTCCAGTGGGATGCTGATCTCCAGGGCCTCCAGAGTGGCGTCAGTTAAGTCCACATCCTGGTGCACCACCTTAGCCAAGGCTTCGGATGCCAGCATGTTGCCATTAAGGACTCTGCTGAGAAGCTCTGCTGTTTCTTCCTCCGTGGACTGCACTTCCACAGTGATCTTTTCTCCTAAAATAAAGACAAATTAGAGATACTGCTTCTTGTGAGTTCAGGGGAGAACTGACCACAGGGGGTGGAGGGGCGGGGGGGGGGGCATGGGCAGCTGAGCCGAGCTCTTAGGTTAGGTGGATGTCCACAGCCATGGTTCTGGAACACTGCTGACTGCCAGGTCACCTGCAGCATTGTATGAGGAGTGGGTACAGTGGCTCCCTGCCTTCTCTCAGTGCAGAGCTTAGGTTCCAGAAAAATGTCTACGAGGGCCAAGTTTTGCATTCAAGAAGCTCCACAGGAGTTGAAATCCTTCAGCCCTCAACTAAGATTCTGTTACTTAGTTTTGCCTTTTGACTTTTCATGTGCATAGAGGTAGCTCTGTCCATGTTGGGAGTGTTACTGAAAAAGACATCGGTTTTACCCACATATGGAAATGCTTCTACTTCTCTAATACTGCTTTTACCAAAAATATTGTTCATGCTCAGCAGCATCAGGTGAAACACAGTAATCTTGAAATGCCATTAAACTTAGTGGCTCAAAATGACAGACAAAAACTCTCCTCTGTGAAAGCCATTGGAAGCTGGCTGTGAGCAGCCCGCCTCTGCAACAGAAGCAGAGTGAAGAGACAGCTGCATCCCTATCTCAGCCAGCCTCCATGAGGAGACAAAGAAGGGGCTGGGAAGGAGGGAGTCCGCCAGACACGGGGCACATACCTAAAAGCCTACCACTTGGGAGGTGGATGCTGGAAAATAGGATTTTAAGTCCAGCCTGGGCTATGTATCAAGTGGAAGGTCAGGGTGGGTCACATGAACCCATCTCCACAGTAGCAACAGACACCACAAAGAGTAAAGATCCATAGTTGAGTGTGATGACATACCTATAATCCCAACACTCAGGAGAAACGCCTGAGTTCAAGGCCAGCCTGAGCTATTAAGACCTTTTTAAAGGAAAAAAAAATAGGTATATAGATGCATGTTCCTACCTACTTGAGCAGTTCCAACCAGTAGCAGCTGGGAGCTTGTTGGAAACACTTCAAGCACCACCTGGATATAACTGATTCTTCAGAAAAAGCCTCAGGTTATATGATGAGCACAGCTCACGGCCCAGTGGGAATCTAGCATAGCAAGGAACTCTGACTTTTTGCTTGTGTTTTGGTGCTGGGGGTTCAGCCTGGGGTCTCTGAGGAATCCAAGCAGGTATTCCACGGTAGAGCTGCATCGGCAGCCCACAGCAGTGATCCTGAGCCACCAAGTCAGTCACTGAAATATGCATGCTACTTCCAGCTTACTGAAACCAATTCAAATGAGCAGGTCACATGACGCCTGTGTGTAAGCTTGGCCAAAGGTCGCCATCACACTGAGTGGGAAGTCCACATTCTTGCTGTGACCCTGCGCCACTGGAGTCCCAGTTGGTACAGCAGTCTCACTCCTGCCTCCCCGTTTCTGTCCTTTAGTAGACAGGAAAATAAATGTGCAATACTTTGCCTCTTTAATTCGAGACAAATGAAGCTTTAAATTTACTGTTTATGAAATAGTCAAGTGTAGGGTTGTAAATTAAGAGTATCGTGAGTTAATCATAGTAGTTATTTTAACTTTCAGAAGTTTAAGATTTCTGTCTTCTCTCTGGGAGTCATAGACATGTATAAAATACATTGCTATGCATATGAAAGTTATTAAAAAGCCAGAGGAATGGTCTATGCCTGTAGTCTCAGCTACTCTGGAAGTTGAGGTGAGAAGATAACTTCAGCCTGTATAACACAGCAAGAACTCAAACAGAACAAAATAAAATTAAAAACTTGATACAAAATAGAAACTTCTAGTTAATCCAACTGCCTTTACAGAGGTTCTGAGACAAAATAAAGAGGGGACTGGAGTAATATCATGCTTTCTTTCAGGATTCCTAACCAAGAGCTAGAGAGGCCAGCATGTCCACAGATGGGTTTAAATCCCTGCCCAGACACGGTCTGTTCAGCTGTGGAGATGAACATCTTTCTGGAGCATGACCACATTAGACTGCCAAAAGGCTATAGAAATTTACCAAAGGCTAGGCCACAATCACTAAAATGCTAAAGATTTCAATTTGGAATGATGGGACAAGAGCTTCAATCAAGATTAGAACTTCAGTCAAGAACTTCAATCAAGCTTCTCCCGCCAAACGGAGACTGGGTTACAAATGTTGTAGCTAGTCTACTAGAGACTTTCACTACACTAACATTTTCTTACTACAGGATCCCATGTAGTTACCGTTGTCCCATTTCAGCAGACATTCTGAGAATACTACACTCCCTTTCTCTACTGTTGACACTTTACCTGTTAGAGTTAGTTTTCAATTATTTAGGGTTGGGATTGGAAGGAGGTGTTCAGACTTGGGCATCTCTTTCAGAAAAGTTTAGAGTTTAGACAGGATAGATATGTTTCTGATAGGATATAGGTAAATTACAATTTATCATCTTCTATGTATATATGCTTTATAAATGTTTGAGACATTTTGTATATTGACACATTTAGTTTTGTTTCAAGTCTAAATCTTTTCTTTAGACTAGAAGGGAATTGTAGGGAGAGATCTACGTACCTGTAGCGCTGACCATGCCTGGTGTGTGGTCACAGGTATGTAGAATTACGTGGGATAAAAGAGCTAGGGTTCCTGTTGCTTTCTAGTTGCATCCTGAGAGCAGCGTGCAGACCTTTGGTTCTCGTTTTCCTTGGCTTCTCATGGGACTTCTCCCTCAGTATCATAGGACATCCCTATTTTGTGTAGCTTAATATTTCCACATTACATGGACTGCTCAATTATTCCAAGAAATCACTTCATCTCTCTAACTTAAATGCCATCATATTCTGAGGTATAGAGCCTAGAGAAAGCATCACATTTAAATGTGTTATGCTGTTTATACCTAATAGCTTCCTAGGATTCATTTGTTCGGAGTTAGGAATTAGAATATTACGATAAGTTACAAAACACATTAAGATTCTTATACTTACCCAAATCATTTGTAAACTCATTGGATTCTTCTCCAAAAACTCTTTTCCCCAAGCCTGGAAACTGAATGAGTCAGAGTTTGAAAAACAAATAACAACCCTTACCCCACAATCCGTTCTGAAGAGAGTTTTACGAGTATAGTTAGATTTAAAACCCACGAACGTTCATAGGAGTCAGCTTGAGCATGGAAAATGAAGTTGGCTTGCTTCTGTGCTTAGTTTTCTCATATTTTCCCTTTCCTTTGCCAGTCTAGAAAGCCTACTCCACGGCAGAGGTCTGGATTTTGTGTGTCCTGCCAGCTTTCTGCAGGAGGGCCACAGGATGGAAAAGCCACAGGACGTGACAGCTTACAAGACTGGCAACAACTATTAACCCTGTTCCTACACACCAGCCTGTGAACGTTCACTCATTAGCTATGTTCCGAAAATAATTTCTTTTAAAATTTTTATTTTATAGGTAGGTAGGTAGATAGATATGCTCTACACCCCCAGGAGAGGGCATCAGATCCTATGGTAGATAGCTGTGAGTAGCCATATGCATACTTGGAATCCAACTTAGATCCTCTGAACAGAGAATCCTGTAGTGACCTGTGGTTATGACAGAAGCATCAACACAGAGAATCCTCTAGTGACTTGTGATGCAATCATCAACAGAATCCTGTAATGACTTGTGACTAAGCATCACAGAGACAACAGTGACCTATGATGTAAGCATCAGAGAGAGCAGTGAATAAGTCAGACTTTTCTCACATCTCCATTATCAGTGTTCAGATAAACACATTTCACTCCTGACCCTCAGAAGACAGCTTTTCTCAAAATACGAGTTGACTCCGATACTCCTGTTGTTTTCAGGGGAGGAACTGCTTCACATACTTGAACTTGTGCAGCCGCAGATGCTCAAATCCTCCTGACGGCCATGCCACCTGCTATTCTTTTTTCTCTTTTGCAAAACAGAAGGGGACCCACAAGGGTTGGCCATCTGCCTGTTCCCCAGCCCCCACACCTGTTTACGGCGCGGTTTAGAGGAATGCAAACAGAGGGGACCTGTAATAAAATCTAAAGCAGCTCAAATGGAAAGTATTTGTTTCATAAATTCTGGCATTACTTCATGAACAATTGTCTGGGCTTGTTCTAATGCTCGGAGCGGGGGGGGGGCACATATTAACCCATAAAAGTGATGTAGATACATATCTAATCCAGTTGCTCAGCCGGTCCTTGCATCAACTGTCTCCATCAGCAACAACAGAAAACAAGCTTCCTTCATCTAGCTTGCTGAAGCCAGGTAGTAAAGGGCATGAAAAAAATATAGTCTGTAGAGATTTTATGTAATTTATTCTCTTCTCATGCCTGTAGTCAAGATTTTACTTGATTCTAAAGTGATCCTCAAACTTTAAAAATTCATTAATATTAAAGTGTTTATTTTCTGTCATAAAGTTCCATCCTTCCAATTTTTAAAAAAAGGGAGGGAGAGAGGAACCATATAAAAGGTAACAGAATCCCCCAATGTCACAAACTCCATTTCCCATGTTCAAGAACTGGAGCTAGCATGCTGTGCTGTGTAATTTCGGGCATATTCAAGCTCTGACATCCGAGCCACAGTAGAATAGCAGCTCTTATGTACAAAATTGTTACAGGGTTCACAAGTTAGAATTCCTAAAGCCAGGTATAAAGTAAGCACTTGCATGTATCTGCTGGTATTACTGTTACCAGTTCAGAATATTGGCTTTTTCTAGTCATTTCCACACAGAGAATCATGGTCAGTCTGTCATGACCATATATTTGTAGGACAATAAAGGGAGACTTTACCCAATTCCAAGCCCATAACCAAGGCAAACATTAGACAAATTGTTAAGTTGATAAGCCAGGACTAAGTGAGACAGGCTGTGAACAAACCAAGAGACTTCAGCAATCCTAGGCAGCATGTGGATTCTCTCTAACACTGGGCTTGGGAAACACCTTAATTACTGTGCTCTGTCACAGAGAACATTATTAACAAGAAACTCATCAATAAATAAAAGGGTCAATACTATGTACTCATGTTAGAATTCTGAGTGTTGTCATTTTGTTTTTCTATACCTCATTGATTTCCTGCAAAGACCATTTTCTTGATACTGTAATAAAAATAAGAGTGGGCCAATAGATGTTTGTTTGATCCAAGATATCCTGAGGCTCAGTGAAAGGCCTGCTGCTTATTCCGAGGGGAGCAGAGCCACGGAGGCGAGAGTCTCACAGCCACCTTGGCCCTGACCTCTTACCTTATTCTCCATGGTCTGTTTTATAACTTCCTGCACCAGCACATCCGCCAGGGTCTTGAAATCTGCTGCAAACTTCTTGTTTTTCTCCTCGTCTTTCTTCTCCTGGATAAGCAGCTGGAAGAGGGTTTCCTGCTGCCGGCACGCCCGGGCGATGTTAGCAGCCTTCTCGGAGACGCGGAGCAGTTCCCTGAGGATGTCTGACATTTCTGAAGCCTCACCCACCCTCTGGCTCTCGGCTGGAAATGCACAAGAATGTGAAAGAGAAAGCAGTTCAGAGTGGAGTCGGGGTGCCTCTCCCACTAACACCCAGCTGGCAGCAACCTGTCAGCACGGCTGACCTGCTAATGAATACGGCATTTTCAGCTTGCAAGACAGGAGTTACGATCTAAATACTGAAACTTATTTCTCAAATCTTGCAAAACAATTACACTCTCAAAAAAAAAAGCCCGTTATCCAAAGAACTGGATTTCCAGTGAAAGGAAATGAATCTTTGAATAAGAATGTATATTCCAGAGCCCTAGTGAGGCAGAAGTATCACAACATAAAAGGAAAGCCAGATTCTTGTATCACATAATTGTGTGACTAGAACAGCACCGTCTGTGGGAAGGATGAGGGGTGACATCCACACTGCCACCTCCATGTGGTAAGTGGCAGAGCAGCAAGCACTATGTCCTGCAGAACTCTGCAGTCACTCTTGGGCTACAGCATGAAGCATCTCACAGCCAGCTCCATTAAAAAACATCCCAATGACACGCGCCAGCCTCTACCAAGTAGCAGCCTTCACAACAACGTGAAGGGAAATTTGCACCTTGCCAGGACTCAAGAAGTTCTGGGCTCTAAGAGCCATGTAGTATGTGTCTGTTTCTGTGTGTGCGTGTGCACGCGTGTGTAGCCCTGGCTGTCCTAGAACTCTATAGACCAGGCTAGCCTTGAACCTAGAGATTCACCTGCTTCTGCCTCCCACATGCTGAGATTAAAGGTGTGCACTGCCACAATAGGCTGCCAACGTCTTTCTACTGGGCCTGCCTTGAAGGGCTTCCACTTAGTAATGGTGTCGTATTCAAAGTGTGAATTGATCCTCTTCCGTTGAGAGAGAACTGCTGTGAGGATTATCTGCTCTGTGTTACAGGGCTTAGTGGGTTGAGTAACTTCTACAGGGTTACACAAGGCTAAAGGTGGGGCTCAGAATTGCTCATACACTAGGGTTCTTTATTGTCACAACAGTTTCCTCTATTAAAAGAAGCTTGCAGCTGAGAACTCACTCAGCCGTGAACATGCTGATGCAGGGGTGTGGCAATCTGTTACAGCCAGCTTGCCTTAAATTTGCTCACATTTGTTTTTCCTGAGGAAATACCTCAACAGAAGTGGAGGAAAGATGAATAAAACAATGAGACATCCCTTCTCACTACCCTCACGGTCATCTCTGGAGGTCAGCAGTAGGCCAGGTGCCAACTCTGACACTGGACCTGGAAATACAGTTTCCAAGGAGCTGTTGACATAACTGTAGTAAATCCCCACCCATGACCCCCTCTCACCAGTTAGCAACTCTATATCTTAGCTTAATATATGGTCAGAAAATAATTAAAATATTTTATACAAAGTAGACTAAAGTTATAAAAAGTAGGAAAGACTTTAAAATAACTTTTCTTTTGAGGCAGGTTTGTAGGCTGAGTTTCTTTGTCCCATAGCAACTCTCAAATAATCACTCAGAGGCTTGATGTTAATTAAAAAAGCTCAGTCAATAGCTCAGGCTTGTTACTAGCCAACTCTTACACTCTATGCTTTGACATGTAGCTTTTCTCAGTAAGTGTGCCCATCTTTGGCACTCTGTCTGCCAGAAACTTCCTCATTCCATCATTCTCAGTTTTGCTTCCCCACCTAACTTTATCCTGTTCAGCTATTGGCCAGTCACCTTTCTTACTAAACCAATCATAGCAACACATTCACACGCTGTACAGAGCATTATTCCACAGCACAGGTTCTCACGTTGTCCAGGCTGCCTCACACTTGCTATGCATCTGAGGATGACCTTGAGAGCTGACCTATGAGGGCTGGGTTGCAAACTCAAGTCCACATTCCTGCTAACACTTTACTAAGCCATCTTAACATCCCTAACCCCCAAAACCTTAAATACTGGTAAAATGCAAGAATACTGTGTGGCCTGTAAATAATGCTTTTGGGGGATGACTAATAAGAAATGAATGCTATAATATTAAGTACAAAATGACCTATGACTATAGTTATATCTACACACACACACACACACACATTATGTTATCAATTTGGGGGGATAATAGGTCATGTTTTCAAGGTAGTCAATTTATAGTGTAATTGTGGATCACTTAGTTTGATTTTTCCATAATCAAATATTCTACAGTAAATATGTAGCACATGCAATTTTATACATTATAATTCTATAAGAAATGATATTTGGTGTTTGAGTGTTGGGAATATGTGACTGGTGACTGAACCTTGGGTCTTGCACTTGCTAGCCAAATGTTTTATATTGAGCTTTTTATCCCTATCCCTAACTTTGATATTTGATGCATGTCTTGCTAACCTGCCCATGCTGGTCTTCAACTGGATATACAGTCCAGGCTGACCTTGTACTTCTGATCTTCTCACCTCAGACTCCCAAGTAGCTGGGATTACAGACCTGTACCACCAAGTCCATCTAATAAATGACATTTTAAAAAACTAAAAATGAATCTCTAAGAATTCCTAGGCTCCCTGATGGAATGGCCCAAACAAACTGTACCTATGATAACAAAACTTTATGGCTCTACATGCTAATACAATAGAACTCAAGCAGCCATGGCGTCTTACAAGCCTCTATTCCTAGGGCATCTATTATATAAATACTTGTCACAAATAATAAAATACACCCAGAATCTCTCACTATATAACTCATGAGCCATAAGACTATCAATTCAGTGAGCACATTTTTATTAGCAAATGTTCTGCATTATTGTAAGAGCAAAGAGTCAATGAACTACCGGGCAGTGGTGGCACATGCCTTTAATTCCAGCACTCGGGAGGCAGAGACAGGCAGATATAGTTCGAGACCAGCCTGGTCTACAAGAGGTCAGCCTCCAAAGCCACAGAGAAACTCGGTCTCAAAAAAAAAAAAATATGAATCAACCAACAGTACCTAAGGTCCTTATTTAGAAGCAGCATGGGGTCATAAAGTTCACTCTGAATTTGAGCAAGATACTCATCAATTGTTTATTACATTCAGTGACTTTAAAATCAATGCCCCCCCCCAACTTTAATCCGAAAAGAAAACACTATACCAGTTACACTGCTGGGTAAGCTTCTGCACCATTGCCTCTAGGAACCCAGAGCTCTAGTCCTCCTGGCTTACTCTAGTTAATGGTCATTTTCCCTACCTGAGCAGGTGTTACTTAGCAAGTACAGGGATTGGCCAAGAGGAAAGAACTTTCAGCTGTGAACTGTGATGCACGGCAGGGTGGGCTCTAGAAATTATAGTACCTCACCGGGGTCTTCAGGGCTCGATTCACCCTTAACCTCTTCTTCTGGCCCAAGACACCACTCGTCACATTTTGCCAGGCTCCAGGTGGCTCTGGGTTCCATGCCCACTTTCAGTGGATACTTTCTCCAGCCAGCCTAACCAACAGCACTTCTCCAGCTCATTCCCTTTCTCTGGGGCCCCAAGTCTCAGAAAACCACCTCCCACAGCATGCATACAAAGACTTTCTAAATCTCTAGAAGTGTTGCAAGTTTGTAGTCCTTGCTTTTTGGGACATGGAGGCAGCTAAGCCCAGGGGTTTCAGGCCAGCTAGTACAATATAGAGACTCCCTTGTCTCAATGAACAGTTTTACAATTAGCTGGCTGACCTACTACTTTCTGGTGGGAAATCTCACTTCTTCCCCCAAAGTCACCCTTGTTGGCCTCTGGGAACTCCTCCCTTATCTCTGTCCATTTATCTTGAGTTCATTCATGCAGTTAGAGAATTGCCTCGGGCACTTCATCCTTCCGTGGAACACTTGAGACAAGTTGTTATGAAAGAACCAGCGCTTAATCACTTTAAAAAGCTAATAGAGTTTATACAACCATTGTTTGCCTTATTCACTTAATATGGTCCTCTTTTGGTACTTGGTGGTAGGAATCTTAGTGGACCCTTATAGAGAAGATGACTCATATGCAGGGCTAGGCAAGGTTTGTTGTAGGTAGTGGTATTTTTATTTGTGTGTGAGCGCGCACTCAAGCACACATTATTAGAAAGTAAAAGCCCTGAGTAAGCCAGGTGAGTTCTACAATAAGCCACATTCCTGGTCCTTGAATTTTGAGTCAGGCTAGCCTTGAACTCAATTTGAGCCACATGTCACTATTTAACTGACAGTCGTTTTCCCCTTTACTGTAACAGTCTTTTCTTATAAGCTAGCGAGAAAAGCCAGTGCTCATACTCACTGTGAAGTGTCTTACTAGGTACGTGTTCACGGTCCAGTGATATCCCTCTTACCCAACTGCATGACACCGGTGATGGGGCCAGACGGGCTTGGATCATGACAGATACCTAATTCTTCTTGTATGCATTTTCTGTTTAAGACCAGGTGGCCTCCATGTCAGAAGTTTGTTTTCTCACCACCTGGAGGCTGGCAGCTCACATGTCTGTGTCCTCACCTGGCCTCTCCTTGGTGGGCATGTAACCCTGGCGTGGATCCCTCTTCTTATAAGCACTCAGTCAGGCTGGATTAGGACCCAACCATGCTGTTGGGGTTTTTTTTTCTGGCTCTTCTGGGAGTTCGCCACCCAGCTCCCAAACATATCACATGGAGGCTTAGTCTTATGAATGCCCAGTCTTAGCTTGGCTTGTTTCTAGCCAGCATTTCCTAACTTAAATTATCTCACCTATCTATTGCCTCTGGGCTCTTACCTTTCTTGTATTTCTGTATTGTTTTTCTTCATACTCCGTGGCTTGCTGTGTAGCTGGATGGCTGGCTCCTAGAGTTCTCTTCCTTCTCTCACTCCTAGATCTTCTCTTGCTTCCCCCTTCCTCGCAGAGCTCTCCTTCCATTTATTCTCTCTGCCTGCCAGCCCCGCCTATCCTTTCCTGCCTTGCTATTGGCTGTTCAGTTCTTCATTAGACCAATCAGGTGTTTTAGAGAAGGCAAAGTAACACAGCTTCACAGAGTTAAACAAATGCAACACAGAAGAATGCAACACATCTTTGCATCATTAAGAAAATGTTCCACAGCATAAACAAATGTAACA